CCAGCTCTCGCCATTTCTCTTTGTCCTCTGCTTTCCTCAGATTGTCACCCATCGTCTTCCCTGTCCACTCTGTGATGTTGTCCTCCCATCTTCTTCTCTGCCTTCTTCTCTTTCTCTTTCCTTGTACGGGTTCCTTGTAGGATTGTGTTGGCAAGTCCTGTGGATCTTGTGACATGCCCATACCATTTTAATTTTCGTCTCTTTACTGAGGTCAGTAGACCTTCATGCTGCCCCACGGTATCTACCTATATTTTAAAAAGTCTCCTCTCGAGAATCGAATTCACAACGTCTGGGCGTAACGGCAAAGAACCTACGCGGTATACCACAGACACGGGGTCAATCTAGCGGAAATCATTACACCCTCGCGGTAACATAGAAAAGCTCTTACGTGGTTGGCTGGTGTGTTTAGTAAAAGTCCCACGTCTCATTAGACAGGGACAGGTCATTCTGAAGCAGGCAAACTTATTCCGGTGGGAAAACTTCAAAGACAAAATGGAAGAAGGATGGAAAGACGGTAGAGACGATGCACCAATGTTATAGAATACCTATGCCCATCTGAGGTTGATCTAGAGGAACGGTAGTGATTTTCCCAAAATTGGCGGAATAAAGCCACATGCACAACAAAATGGAACCCTTCACCTTTTCCTGTCTCAGTCTGTCTGTCTCTCTCTGTTACTCCTTTTATCACTGTATCTCTATCTTGGTCACCCTCCACCCTTCTCTCTCTTCATATCTCCTTCCGCCTCTCTTTCTCTCCCCTGCCTTCTCTCTCTAGCTCTCTCCCTCTCTATCTTTCTCTCTCTCCTCTCTCTTTTGCTCCCCCTCTTTCTCTCCTCTCTCTATTTATTTTTGTTTCTTTATCTTGGGCATCCCCTCTCTTGTGCTCTCCATCTCTCCCCCCTCTCTCTCTAAAACAGACGGAACCCCCAAATGACAAAGTAACAACCAGTAGATCCTAACCTGTTGCAGTCCAAGGTACTCGGCCACATCCGACAGATACACGATGTCTCCGTCCTGGGACAGGATTAAGGCGAACCCCTCCAGGGCCTTCTCTCTCTCTCTCTCCTTCTCTCTCAGTCTCTCTCTCT